CAAACAATAAAGCTACAAAAATAAAGCTATAAAATAACACACAAACAAAATTTTAAACATATAAGATGCCAAGATTATAAAACACAGTCAACAGTGTCATCAGTTTTACACAATTGCATTCTGTTTTTGGGAAGGTATATACACTATTATTACAGAATCATTTCTGGATCATCTGGATCATTTCTGGATCAGAACCATTTTATATGGTGATGAAGCAGATGTCAGCAGAAGTCTCTGTTGGTTCTTTGTTTAATTAGCTACTTCACTCATTTATATAGTGGATATGAAGTCACTTATTATGCAACTCGTCTGTTGCAGAGCATTGTAGCCTAAGTGGATGGAGGGGAGGTGAAAGGCAAGGCGGTTTGAGATAAAGTCATATCAGTCTTTGTTTGATTCCTGCCCTTCAGAGGTCGGTAAAGGTCATTTGAGTGCTTTCAGGGTGTGATATCAGAAATTGTCCCAGCAGTCGTGGTCAGCAGTTTTACTGATAATGACACAGAGGAGGACGAGTTTATCAGCATGTGAGCCGCGGACGCAGCAGGCTGCAGATTCATGGATGAGCGTATTGATCATGTAGCAGAAGATGGGACAGGTGCACACTGTTAAACAGCTGCAGCAGAGGCGTCGTGCCCAGAATATAAAAGCAGTCATTAAACACTGCGCCGATGAGACCTCACTTCTCAGCCAGATGTATTTACTGCTGCAGCCTCACATTAATGAGCTGGATCAGGAACCGGTTGGAGTACCTGACACCTCAGCAGCTCCCTCATCGATAGATGGCCGTTTTTTTTTTTTTTAACGTGGCGTCACAACTCATATGGTCACTGTCAGGAAATGAAGGGCCGGACGACTCGAGTTTACAGGATGCAATAAGATGAGAGTTGAATACGCACTGTGTGGATATAGGACACAGCAAAGAAGCGGCATTGAAATATAAATATAATAATTCACTTGAATGGGAGCGTGGTCACAAAGCCTTGGTGTCTATATAATATTCTGTACCGTGTGCGTATTAAAATATTATCATAATATAATCATATTCTCAGCGCTGAGTCTGCGAAGGCCATACATACTGAGCAGGAAGTGTCAACATGTGCAGAAAATTCTATTCACCTTATCGACAATATTCAATTTACAGGAGCAGATACCACATGTGCAGGATGAACATGCAGATGTGGACATTTGCATTAATACCTGTTCCGTTTATCAAACTGTGCAGATGTCAGAAGTGTGAAGGAACCACAGACTACACCGCAAGGAGAATAAATCATGTGATTGTATGATAAAAGACAGAAAAAAAACAGCAGTTATTTTGAATGTAGGCTCTATCTGCACTTCCTGAATGGCAGCTAATTCTGTAAAGAAACTGCCTCCACCATATGTCACCCACTAGAGGGGGATAAGCACATCTTAAATGTTTGTTCGTCAAACAACACTGAAGCTAGAGAACACAAACACTGTCAGTGGAAGACTGCTGCTGCTCTGAAAGCGGATTCTCTTTCAGTCTTATCAAATCTCATCTCATTGGATTAGTTTCACTATTTTCACATCATCAGTAGAACAAGAAACAGGAAGTGTTGCGGAAGCAGCTTCTTCAGTCACATCATCTTCCCTATGTTTCATTGTACTCAAACTAGGGCTGCAACTACTGATTATTGCTATTATCGAATGATGAACTGAACTTTTCTTTTTTGACTAAAAATACCCATCATAGTTTCCAAGATTCCAAGGTGCCGTTCCCAAATGTCTTGTTTAATTCAATCAAAAGTCCAAACATATGTAGTTTACTGTGATAGAACGTTTCTCATTCGAGAAGCTGCAGGGGATGTTTGGCATTTTTTTCACCATTTGTTTGAAAAATGACTGGAAAAAAAAAGTCAAAATAATTTCCAATTATTTTCATCAGCTAATCAGTTAATCAACTAATTGCTTCCGATGTAGTGCAATAAGTCACATAATGGGGACGTATCCAAAACCCCAGGACTACCTGCTCCACACTCTCTTTCCTCAGGCCACACTCCCTATAAATAACCTCAAGAAATTGTATTTGCTGGATAAAGTTTGTGATTCAGTTTTAAAAAAAACAAAAAACAAAAAGCTGGTCTCCACAAAACCATAAAGGGTTTTTGTTTAGGCTAAGGGTTGGGATAATGTTAGGGAAAGGGCTGGGGTTGTGGTTAATGTTGGGGTAAGTCACGTAATGCCATGTGCATATTGTGTGTATGACTCATTACTGCTGCAGATGTAAACATGCACCTGTTAGCTTGTGAAAAAAAAATCCTGCATCTAAGAATATGCAGGGTGTATTTTAGACTTGACTCATGTGTATTGTTTTATTTTTAGCCCTATTTGCCTTACTTCTCTTCTCACCTATTTGTCTTCTCACAGTTTTCAACATTCACGCTTTCCAGTGCTATATTTAGACGTTGCCACTTCATGTGTTTAGGGCAGATCACAGGGCTTTACTATACTAAGTATAAATGAAACCAGGAAGGATTAAAGATGGATCGGTATCTGACTGAGCAGACATCAGTGTGCTAGAATTCATTAAGTCATATTTTCATTGGTTTTATGTATGAAAAACAACATACAGACAAGGTTTAGAAAGGTCCTTGGTTGAATTAGTGAACATGTATTGAGGCAACATGCTGGTCTATCATGAACTGTCAATTGAAACAATAATAGAAAAATGGCTTTGTTTAGGAAGTGTTATATTATTTAAATGAAGTTAATTACATAAAAGTGGAGGAGGTTCTCAAGAGGATTATGTCCAACGGGTGGTAGCAGCATGTCTATATATAACATGGATGGCAGGTTTTAGACATAATTGATTCCATCCACTCGGCCTCCAGGTACAGTATGACTCATGCTGAATCCAGTTTGTAGCAGCGTCGTGACGTGAACAGCAACCTTTCCTTTGCTGATGGCTCAAACTACATTATGCACCGTGTACCTGTTACAACCAGGCTTCGGAGCCAAGTACACCACATGTCGTGATAATTCAGAGTAGATGTACCTGGTAATGCATCCTCCTTTTCTAAAATCTCTAAAACCAATGGATGTCCACAGTGACTTTTGATCCCCAACATCCAACTTCAGCCCTTGTATACACAGGAATGTTTTTTGGAGGATTTAGCCCAAGCAAAGATGAAAAGCCTCTTTCCTTTATGTATCGGTGGAGTTTACAGATTCAGCTGAGTTTTAGAGTTTTAGGGGTCAGTGCCCAGCAAATCTACAGCAACTGAGCTGCGTCACAAAGCTTAGATGACAAGTCTTGTAGAGAAACTAAACATTAGATAAGGTACAAACTAAAAGCTCCTATCTCTGTTATTACTCCCTTGCCTTGGTATTAGAAGGCATGCTGACAATACAAAGCCTTGTCACAAAGTTATTGATGAGTCATTCCCTGTTTGGTTTAATTCTATATCCACCACCCCACGATTCGACCTTCATGTGTCTGCCTCAGCTGTTTCCTCGCCTTGATTAAACACATGGAAGGTCAGAGCTTTTAAGCATTTTGACCACGTGCGTTTCTCTCCGTCAAAGACATTAACCCTAAAGTATTCCACTGCTGTTGCAGCTGAAACATGGCTAATGTCATTGGAAGGAATGTGGCAGATGCCCTCTCACAGTGGGGACTAATCAATTTAGAAAATGATTTATAAGACAGCACCTACCTGGAGAATCACATGTAGGACACAGCACATACAGCTTCCCACGCATGTGTGATGTCTTTTATTTGGATTTCAGCATGCGCCATGACTGGGAAAACAATCCGATGATAAATATTCTAGAGACACAACGGCCAAGCGTGCCTGCTCCTCTACAGCCTGCCTGTCTGTCTGCCTGCTTATGTTTTCTACAAGGAGCCCCTCACTGCTCCTTCCCGCACAGGAAGTAAAACATAGAGAGAAGTAAGCCACACAACTACAGTGGGCCTCATGCAATAGCCAAATCTCTTGATAAGTTTATACACTACAATCAAGCCGTAGGCCATGACGCCTGGCAGGGATTACCGAGGGATTACAATATATTCACCCCACTGGGATTCCATCACATGGTGGATCAGATCTCTGTGACAGGGGACCAGTGTGCAGCACTCCCTCAGGGCCACAAACACTACTGCGATAGATTTGACAAAGAGCCTAAGTCTGTCTGACAGCTCAACACAAACCACTGTCTGGCTACAATGTGAATGTTAAACTAATGCTACAGGGTTTGACATCACAGAGCTCTGCCATGGTGCTTCTCCTCCATTACCTTCCAGAGGGCAGAACGCAAAGCAATTAGCTTTTTGGAGGAAATTAAGACAGTTTGGCCACAAGTTACTGGTTGCAATCCAGTCCATTAGTGAAGCAATGTAGCTTGGATTTGTTCAAAGAACAACTTACTCTGTCTGAGTAATTAAAATGTCACGTTTCAAAAACAAGAGATGAGAAACTTTCCCTAACAGCTAAAAATCACAATAATGACATGATGGATGTGCATTAATCAGCGCAGCCAAAACCATGCATGCAGACCTTTGGCAGATTAAGTTTGAATGCTTTGGACCGCTGAAAAATTAAGCAACAGCTTCAAAAGTAATGTCACGAGAGAAAAATTATAAATCCTCTTGTTCTCCATTTGTTGCATTAAACACTGGACACCATCTGTTGGGTTGGACCACAGAATACAACAGCAGCAGGGTGGCAGCTGCCACCCTAAGACGCAACAGCCTGGCCACAGCCTCATGTTGCACGCTGACATACTCTAAAAATACTACTCTGGGCCCCGTTAATGGGCTCTTACACTGTCTTAGTTACGGCAGGCAGACCGGCACACTGAGCAGAGATGAAGCTAAAAGGTCATTAATCAAAATAAGCCAACTCTAAACAAAAGGCACTTTGGTTGGCCGGCCAGCTGGGATTACTGAGTATTATCACAACATTTTGGAAAAATGACAACCACTCGTCCTGTGTATCTAATATGTCAATCCCCTCTCCTGACCCCTCCTCCAGGCAGTAGGTGACTGAGATGGGCGTTCGTCTAGGCTGCTTGAGCGACTCCCCGTGGTGGCCGCCGCCGCTGCTGCTGCTGCTGTTCTGCACTGTCCCCTGCTGTTCGGGCCGGCCGTTTGGGATTCCCTCGCCCTCCGTGAACGTGGCGGTGGTGTTCAGCGGCTCGGCCTACCAGACGGAGATTAAGGGGCGGCTAAGCCGGGAAAACTTCATGGACCTGCCTCTGGAGGTCAACCCCATCACTGTGCTGGTCAACAACACCAATCCACGGGCGCTACTCACGCGCATCTGTGACACCCTCTCCACCAACCGCGTCCATGGCGTGGTGTTTGAGGACAACATTGGCTCGGAGGCCGTGGCACAGATCTTGGACTTCATTTCCACTCAGACAGCTGTGCCCATTGTGGGCATCAGTGGAGGCTCTGCTGTCGTCCTGCCATACAAGGTCAGTGTGGGGATGGGACTAAGGATCGAGAGAGACCAGTAAAGAGCTAGTTAGCCACACCCACTATCTGGGGGACCCTAATTTTACAATGTAATTGGTTACTAATCAAACTAAAGCAATTTATTTCACAGTTTAAGCCCCAGAATGTACATGCCCAGAAACTACATCTCAAACATTCAGGCTGCAACAGAACAATTTAACACTGAGTCTTTCGGAGAGAAATGCACTCTGGGAAGCCAGAGGAGCCGGTTTAAATCATCAGGTAATGTCTTTCATTCACAGTCAACAACCCACATAAGACATTGCAGCTTAACAGAGAGCTATATAAAGTAATGAATACGAGAACTCACAGGATGAATACAGATCATCAGCTGCGGCAGAGATTCCACCAGCTACAGTCCATCACTGGGTTTGTACATCACATCTCATTTTTCTCATGTTACAGGTTAAATAACAGACATTCAAATTCATATAACAGGGACGAACCAATGACTTTTCATCATCATTTCTCGCCATCATTCTGGTTTGTAACTGCTTTAAGATCCGAGGAGACACATACAGCTGTGAAGCTGGAGAGGCAGGTTGAAAATATCTTCCGCAGAAAAAACATGTTTTAGAGACTTTTAAAAATACCCACCAAAACAATCCAATATCTGTTTAAAGGTGCGCTTCAGGGAGAATATTTTCAGCCTTAAAATGCCTCAAATTTGTGGTTAAGTATAGCATTTGAGTAAATGTACTAAATGTCACTTTCTACCTTTGAAACCCACAGGATCAGATTTTGCCTCTTGTCTAAAATACATCTGCATAAGCCATAACACACATGAAGACTGTTGCTTCTGATGTATTATAAGTCATCTAGTGGATTATAAATCAACAGGGTCATGGCAGAGGAAAAACCTATCACAGCAAAGTGATGTAATTCCACTTTGATTCTTGTTTCCGGGTGCAATTATTTGTTGTGGCCATTTGTTGTGAGGTGTCAAGTTCTCAAGGGTTTGACAGAAGTTAGATGGATGTGTTTGGCATATACTTAAAAATATTTAATAAACTGCTTCAGAGCCTCCAGCAGAGGCTATGGTGGTAATGACAACCCTTAAAGCAAAAGTGAAATCATTTCGATCACAGTCCCACTCAAGGTGCAGATTTATATTCTTGGGAGCAGTCAAATAATCACACAGAGGCCCACATGTACAGTAATTTCAGTGCTAATTACATCAGCCAAAATGAGCATTAGGTCGATGGACAGGTACAATCTGTCATTTCAAAAATGATTTAATGATCAATAAATGTTAAAATATCAATTTGCACAGGAATGCATTAGAGCTGCTCCAGGTTCAAGAAGCAAGAAATGAATTAGGGAACTTTGTCAAGGTCAGACGTAAAACATGAATCCCTCAAATCTTCATTCTAATTGATATACTGATACATCACTTTATGTAATTTGTGGCCTCCAAAGACTGTTTTCATTATCAGTACGATATGCAGCCTTAACTCTCAGGTGAGGTAAACAAGAGATGCTTGTGAAACGTCACACAAGCCATTACACTGCTTTTACAGTGGAAGCTGGAAGGTTTAGCTGCAATGATCCATCTATAGAAACAGTATCACCCACCACAAAGGGCTCAGCCGCAGAGACTAATATAATCCTTTCAAAATGGCTTTTTTCTGGTGACATTTCAGTGCATCCTGCAATAGGCACTACAGCAGAGCTAGCCCTCAAAGGATAACATTACATGTTGACAGATACAGTTTGAACCCCTGCAACAGGATTCTTTCAACTTGTGATTTTTAAATATTCAGTGTAAAGTGAACTTGATTCGTGATGATTTATTTAGACAATTACACAATGGTAGTTATACTATAAAGAGGGATTTGGATTTGCACTAACTGTTTTTAGTAGTATGTATGGAAAAAAGTGAATACATAAGTGAAGAAACATAACAAATGCAGATGCCACCACACATGGCATGGTACAATTAAGCAATTCACATCCAATCATGTTCTGTGGCATGTATGAAAATTCTGAACAGGCCCAGTTGACTCTGAATTTGTATCAACATGACAAGAGAACAGTACAGGCCTGAATGCTTGACCCCTACAGTGAGGGGAATCTGGCAGCTCCGTTATGCTGTAGGGGACATTTTGCTTACATGGTTTGGGTCTACTTGTTGCCCTAAAGGGTCACTGCAAATCAATACAGAGTTGTTCTGAGTGATCATTTCTACACGAGGAGCCACTGAAGGGCTTGATGAGTATGAAAATGTTGGGAATCATATGCTTTGGCCTTTGCGGTCACTATCTCAACCCAATTGAAAACCTATGTGAGATTTTGGACTGATGTGTCAGACAGTGGTGCTCTCCACCACCATTATCAAATCACCACATGAGGGAATATCTTTTGGAGAATGGTGTTCATCCCTCCAGTAGAGTTCAGAGACAAGGAGCTTCGAAGCTGAAAAAAATAAATGTGAAAAAATGAATGGTCCAAGAACAGACCCCTGTGGGATACCAGAAGTAACTCACTGCGCATCACATGCCCATTCATTTACATTTACAAAATGCTTCCAGAGTCATTTGTATATCCGCCCATTGGAGCAGTAATGACATACATGAATAAGCAAGACATTATGATCAAAAGTATCAAAACTAGACCACAAGCAAATTTGAATTGGATTAATGATCTCAGTAACAGCCATGATATTTTAATCCATTATATAACAGCCTTTCAAGTATTCTTGAAAACATCAAAGGACAGAGATAAGTCAATAAGTGCAAAATGTTCTTTGGTCTTCTGAATTAAAAACGGGCACAATTTTGAGAGCACTGGTAACAATTCCATTAGAAAAGAAATGGCAAAAACATTACTTTTTCATATTTTATTTTGAGGCATTTTATAGTGTTTGAGGAACAAGGAGACACTAATAAGACTCTGTAATTTCCTTAATTCACATGAGTTTGTAGACAGCTCACCTGTCAGCTACATCGATTTCAGAAAACATCCTGCCTTCAGTTTGGCTTCCCAAGGGTAATAAAAGAGATGTCACTCAGCAATGAGCGCCTCCTGCTGCTCGGTTACCCTCTAACTATTCTAATTTGAAGACAATCATAATAAATTACTGAATTAACTCACGTAATGAGAAATAAGCATAATGACAAAAGCTGGCAGCTGTTAAAATGAATGACTGCTTTCATCAGTATTTAGCCAGTGAAAGACATTGCAGCCATTGATATATGCCATGTAGTGAATGCATTAAAAGGGCCTTATAGATCAGTGAGTGCATGGATTATTAATATGGACGATCGCAGTTGGAAACCTGAAGTAATCTTCTGCTGCCCACTGAGGTACAAGGCCTCTGACATGTATACCTCCATGGCTCACATGATAATGTAATATTTTTTAGGCAAGTGATACTTTGTTATGGTCTTGGGCCCCCGTGCAGTCTGTGCTCTATATGTGGTTTTGCGTATAGATTGCTGATGACCACTTCCCTATTATCAGGACAGCCACTAGTTCCCACTCTGTTAGTGTCAAAGCAAATTGCAAAAGCTCAAGAGAGGTTTGAGGGAGTGGTTTCTTGGTAGATGAAGATCAATACCAGTACTCTGTTTTGAAAGCTCTCATTTGTTCATGTGTGTTCAGTTCTTGGTGGGACACTCTGATAACCAAGATTTACAGTAGGCTGCTGAACACTGCAATGTTCATGAGCGACAGTAGAGCATTGCGTTGTAAAAATCAAACCCAGACAAATAATAAGCGACCATGGATGACTTGGAACAATATCAGCTGAATTTGGCAGTTTCTTGGATTGAAACAAAATTCTCCCAATTCTCTTCCTGCAAGTACTTCAACACACAACAGTGCAGACCTTACCATGCAACTACTATATTATAATAACACATAGTACATGAGGTAAAGCAGTTCTGAAGTTTCTGTGGGTGGATTTTTATAGAGAATTCAGTGGACACAAAGGAAATCTGGAGCAGCTGTAGCTCATTTGGTAGAGATGTTCCTGATCACATGACGAACTGTCCTTCAGCAAGTTGCCCAAATTATCTGTATGAGAAGTAAGTCGCTTTAATCAATAAGTGTCTGCCAAGTGAGTGTAATGTAAAAGTAATCTAATGTCTAAGAACACATAGTATACTTTGAAATTGGTCAGCAGTACTAACAACAATTATATTTATCAAGATAATACACACAAAGGACGGGTACATAACTGTAGTTAAACGTTGCCCTGATTTATGACCCTGAAAAAATAAAGCTTTGGAACAACTGATTTATATAATTAATACTGATTATAAATAAAACTATATAGAAGTTGGTGCATACATTTGCACACAATCGCTGAGCCCACCAGACATTGACATGCTGCCTCAGTTCAGAAAGAGCTGCCAATAGCAGGCTGTGGGGAAGAAGACAGAGATGTCTGTCAGTACATCTGCTCAACATCCAAGGGACCGCTGTAGATTACATCGCACCAAGAGAGCTGGAGTAGTGGCATTTTTACCTCTGGGATCAGTCTATCCAGAGTAATTATAACGGAGCATGTCACAGAATGCAGATGTCAACAAGTCCAGTTTTTTGCAGATGGAAAACAATGGACTGACATACAGTACAAAGCAGTGACAGTTTCAAATAGAGGGTAAAACTCAAGGTCTGGAACATTAAAAATAGTTTAATGTATGATTTAACTTGTCATATATTAATATTTGAATGCAACAATCTGCACATGGAAGTTGTGTACCGGAGGCACAGAGATGATTTTGGTCCAACCCTCTTTGAGTCTTCTCAATGATCAGGCACACCGCCCGTCGATTGATTTATGGGACGCTGTCAGCGCTAGTCAACAAGGCAATGGAGCTCATTCATTTTTCATACGTGTTGCTGAAAGCTGAGAGTTTGATCTTTCTCAAAGTGACAGCATAAAATTAGGTGATAAACCGATTCCTGTCCTCCGGACTTTTCAGTTTGTTGATTGACATCATCAGAGCACATT